GGGCGGACGGGCGGGCAGGGACGCGTGTGCCAGGGTCAGGCCGAAGCGCCGTGCAGGGAAGCAGCGCGCCGTGTAATGCTGGGAAAGAAGCTCCCGGGCTGGCCGGGGACAGAGGGGCGGGCGGTCGCGGCGTGCTTCAGCGCATCAGTTCAGTCCTTTGGAGAATGTGCACCTGGCCGTGCCTCGGAGCCGAGGGCTCGCAGGGCGTTTGCGGCTCCGGGCAAGGGCCGGTGGCCTGCGGTCCCTGTGCTGCTCCAAGATATCATTACTAACACGCGTCGTTCACACGCGCTTCTTGCGTTGAAGCTGGTGGAGCGCGGTGCTCCCCTGCGCACACTGCAGCAAGCAGGGCCCTGCTGGTAGGTCTCACACGTTTGGGGTGGTAGTGCTGTAAGATAATGATGATCAAGTAATCTCTCACAGCTGGGGCAGGCTGTGGACAAGCCAGGATGTGGAGGGAGGGAGGGAGGGGCTGTTGTGGAGACAGAAGTGACAGAGAGCCCAGCAGCACTTGCAGGGTTGGGGCCTGGAACCACCCCACCCTGCCTGTATATAAAACAACTCCAAATACATGTTCAAGGCAGGCAGGGGATAAGATACAACATTCACGTGGCATCTTTCAAAACACCAAGAACGTTCAAAATCATCACTGTGCGATCAATCCGTAACTCCCAAAGTCCGTGGAAAGGCGCCCCGATTCCAGCGAGCTCTGGCAGGAGGTCCTTGCTGAACAGGAACGGACGCGGCGCTCTACCTGCATTCACGAGCAACTGAATGAAGCGTGCGCTCCACGGCCATCCAGACGCGCAGCCTGTAACGCTAAAGCAAGGCTTGGGCCTGCTGACAGAGTCACTCAAAATCGTGGGAACAGAATAATGATTGCAGTATGTCAAACTGGAACAGAAATACCTGAATTCGTGTGCATTGTACCAACACCAATACAAAACAAGAAGCCTTAAAAACAATTAAAACAAATACCGATCTTTTAATGAGACACTGTAGCCCAAGTTTCATCAGCAAGTTGGGCGAGTAACCTACTCCTCCAAAAGGGAGGGGCAGGGGAACGGAGGTTGTGCTCTTTTGTGCCGAGTCTCTGAACACCTGAGCTAGCTCCACCCAAGATGAAGGTCAGACCCTCCTTCAGTGGCAACCCCAGTACTAGGAATTCACATAGTTGTAAGATTATTATAATCAATTTTTTTTTAATTGTGAAAAAACAACTGCCTCTTCCTTCTGCACAAATGAAGGCCAATGACAGTCCATCCGTGTGGCATAAGCCTGAACGGGATGCAAAGTTTCCCATTATTTGGTACGTGGCTCAACGCACAATGGACTTTTATTGCATACAGTTCAAGTGACATTCAGATGCACCCGTGGCAGGAGTGGAAGTTCCCTGCTGCTGCTGAGCAGAACAGGAGCACGAGTCAGCACCCGAGAGGCAGATGCAGACCTCTGAAGGCCTAGATCAGCCGTGCTCTTGATCCCGCAAGCTACAGCGTCCCAGGGGGGCTGGGAGCCACCCCCACCTGGTGAGGCTGACATGTATTAATTAAGCTGCGCATCTCTTCCTGCCAGGGCTGGTCAGACAGAAGATGCTCTCTCGGCAAACACGTCTTGCGGTACGCATCTGTGTACCTAAGGGGTCAGGGAGCAAAACTGCAGTCTGAGCTGCCAGCCCTGCTCTGCAAACCAGTCCAACCCCACTGCCTCCTGCCCGGACACACTGACAGAACCTGCCGTGGGGAAGGCTGACCGTCAGCACCAGCCAGAGCAGAGGCTACAGCGCGGCATGAACAGATGCTGCTTTCAAAAAAGTGAGGTCATGTGCTGCCCAGGCAGGCAAGAGCCAAGAGTGCAGCAGACGCCCCACGCAGCCACAGGGCGAGAAAAGCCTTTGCTTTAGAGGAAATCCTCTTGTGACTTTAAACGGGGTCCCCTGAGACTAGAAAGGAAATGCTACCTGTGGTCCAAGGTGGAGGTCTGATACAGGGCATCTTAGAGAAAAGACTTGATGTCTTACTGTGGCATAGAAAGAAAGAGGGTAGCTATGCCCTGAAGCTTCACACTGCTTTGCTGTAGCCGTCACACGCAATGTACATCCACCCTCCCCTGTAATGCCAAGACCATGTTTGCAGGACTGTACATCTGCAGTGTGCACTAGGTGCATCTCCCACTGTCCCAGCTACAGAGCAGCTTACATTCTCTAACACCTCCTAATTTAAGACAGAAGGATGTTTCAATATTAGCAATCACTGAGCATGCTATCATTGTACAGGAAGCCACTCCAATTTAAAAGCTTAGGAAACTCATCTATAAGGAGTATTGTCTAATAAGAAACTTACTACTTTCCAAAATAAATGCAGTTTAAACAGTGGGCTGAGTTTACTTTTCCTAAAGTAATTAGGCTACACATGAAGCACAGATTACATGCTGCGAAACTCAGCTACTTAGCATACTTATCAACAGGACACTTTGTATAATGCGAGTATCTAACCTGGTATCAGGGGCCTTCCACAGATGTTATTTTTCATTACCTATTTCATGCACAGTGGTAAATATCTTGGAATAGTTTAAATGTAAATGTGCCAGGAAAGACTTAATTTTAATTCCAAATTTACCTGCTCACACTGAACTAAGCTAATTGTTTAAAAACAAAAAAAAAAAAAACCTAATTCATTTCCAAAATAAGTTTCAGCAGCAAGATACCACGTTGCTGTAACTAGTTTGAGCAGGTCACAGGAAGTTTACAGTAGTTTAATGGTGCGCCCTAGAAATGAGCCTTACTGTTCAAAGTCCCGACAGACGGAGCATCAGGAACAGTGCAGGTGTGTGTTATCTATCCGTTATACACCAGACGCACACATCCAAGTGGGAAACTGTACACACCATGCATATCTGCAGAAGGCAGAGCGGGGCTTGCTGAGAAAGCTCCTCTCGATGCCAAGACGATGCCATTAGGCAATGCCATGCATTGTTACTCTGCAGGAACAGCGCAATACAACTTGGAGTCTCTCTGCAATGTTCTGTACTTAGAAAGGGTGAACGTGCATATGTGTGTATGCTGCCTACCTTACAGCGTGCTGCGACGTAAGGGATCGAGCAGGCTGAATTCAGGATGGCTGCATTACCTGCAAGTGTTCGAACCAGTCTGAACTGGGAGCAATACCAAGAGCCACTTGGTGAAAGGCAGCCTTCCTGGCTGCGGCTGTTCCATGCAACATCTGATCCTCCAGATCACACGTGCACCCGCAGAGTGACTGACCAGCAGTCACCACCAGTGGCCTGCATTGGTGGGAAGGTTAGGCGGTGACAGAACTTGCATCAACTCTCATTACCTGTTAGCAGCACATGTCTGTGAGCACTGTTGGCAAGGGGAGCAGAGGATATTTTCTATCACGGGCAGATGTAGAAGGGGGGAGTTCAGGAAAAGATTGCCAGATTTCTCTCCCCGCAACCACAAATCAGGGAGGGGATGGGTAAGTTGGCCCTTGCCTTCCAGAGGCAAGTGCTTTAGGGGGACAGCAGTGTCAGCAATCCTTCACTCCTCCCCATACCTGCCACTACCGCAGGCCACATCAGAGCGGTCATTTTATCTAGACTACTGACTACTAACAAAATGCATATAGTTAAAGCTGTTTAAAAAGACTTGCACTATACGTATAAGAGAACAAGTGACCAGGTTTAGTTCTTTTCCTGATGTGACATTCAAGACTTCTGTGAATCTGATTGCTGGAAACGGTTTAGCTTCTCTGGATTATTGGAGGCCATTTGGGAAAAGTCACGGAAAATGTCCTGATAAATTTCATCTCCTGCACAGAAAGAGAAAAACAGGGAAACAGTTTTAACATGTTCATCAAGACAGGTCACATCATGCATCTTCGCACAAATGTCCCACTGTCCTAGCAATTACTGTGTAACATTTATATTCACGTACAGTAGATGGCTTATATGTGGAGTGATGCTGATGGATGCAAAGTCTTTGAAAGAGACTGGTTAAATGACATGCATATTTTGTAAAAGCAAGTGAAAAAAGCCAAACTGTACCTGAAATAGTACCTCAAAGGCCGCCAGAGGAAAATTCAAAGTTAGGAAGGAAAGGTGCAAGCATTTTAAATCAATGCAAAAGAAAAACACATTTAATTAACAGATAAAAAGCAAAATCATTGTAATAAAGTGGAAGTCCTGGCATAGGCTCTCTTCATGAAAACAGAGGTGTGGCATAAAGAAAGGACTAAGAAAAAATGTCCTCTCATAGCCTGAGAGCTCGTAAGGTAACAAGGAGCATGCACCATTCCTGTGGTACTGCAAATTCACGTTTGGAACACTGCACTGTTGCTGCAGGAACATGGCACTATATTTAAATGCACTATTCACCATTCATCTCATACTCCAGGATGTCCCAACACTGCACCAAGGGCCTTCAGCTAGCAGTGACTTTTCATCTGTTCCTTCTGCCCTTCTGTTGGTGTTTAAAAGGACTTAGTTGCTGACACCAATTGAGCAAACCCCCTTTCCAATATCAGCACACAAAGAGCGAGGTGGACTGTTCCACCTAGTCTTTTCCCCGACTCCCTGCCCCGTCCACAAGAGCAGCCAAGTCGCATCTTCAATACCACGACAAGTCGGGGTGACAGGGTGTTGCTGTTTATTTCTTCACTCAATGGTCATTTCCCTAGCTTATGAGGGAGCACGCATCTTTACATTTTGGAGCTACCTCCGCTTCACTCACGTGACTGTTTGCCAGTGGCAGCCCCTGTCCATTTCAAATCTATTCCATCCCTGGCAGCAATTGTTTCAAAGCCGGTTTGGGCATCGTGGCTCCATTCCAGCAAAGTGCTTGCACATAGGCTTCATTTAAAAATGAACTAGAAGCCCCACTGTTAAACACACGGCAAGCACATGCCAACAAACTTGACAGCCTCTAGAGGTACGCAGCCATCTGGAGCCTCCCATCCTCTTCCCACAAACAGAGTAGCTGTAGACTGCACAAGGCCCAAGCACTTTTGTTCCCCATCTGTCAGCTCCAGTATGTACTGCATGTCTAAGAGGGGCAGGAAATCACCAAACCCCAATTTACTTCTCCTGCCATGTAGGCCTCCCTCTTAATGGGGGGGGGAGGAGATGAGGAGGGTGGGTGAATGTAAATGTTTCCCTCCATCTCTAAACAGTATTCTTTTAAATGACTTCACAGAGCCTGTATGGGACAGGACTAGAGTAAAGATTGTTTTTCCATAATATCCGACATGAATTTCCAGTACCAAACCTGTATCATTGCTCAGTATGTGGAGTCAGTGGTGCATTTATTTGAAAATACGTTTTCAGATACAACAACTGATTTGCCCAAACTATTTAAAATAGTGCCAAGATTTGTATACGAATAAATCACAAAGAATTCTTTCTGGTTTCAAAGAATAAGTTAAATCACCAACAGATTTATCAAAGGGAATTTCTTTGTACTGAAATTCCCTTTCAGTCCTCAGGTTTAGCTCCAAGCACTTTTTCTAGACCTGCAACAGGCACATGGCACGGGTTTGTTCATTACAGCCTCTGATCATTGCTTCCACTGGGAGACAAGCATGTCATAAAAGAAGTCATGAAAATTCATCGAGAGAACAGATATGGAAGAACACAAGGTCGAGGTTAGTATGTCTAATGCATGTCATTACATTATTAACCCAACAGAAATAAAGGGAAATGGATCCCACAGGTGGACTGTGTTGCACTTCAGTTAAACACATTTGGTTCTTTCAAGTTCACTCGAATGAAAGCTAGTTCTGCAAGATACTTTTTGGTTCTATTTTTGGCTGTTTTGAATGATAAAAGTTATCACATACAAAAATAGAAGAGTAAAATAAAGTGCCCCTCGTGTCTGTATGCTGCATTAAAATATTCAATACTGTAAACATTGTAAATAGTATTTTAAAATGCTTAAAACTGATTTCCAAGCACTGTTATAGTAGCTAAAGTGCAGATTCTTAATACAAAAATACTATAGCACTGCTGTACTGTTAAACACCAAAGTAACTTAAAAAGGCACACATTGAACATTAGAGGAAAACAGGAAAAAAGGGTAGCAGACGCTATTACAATATACTGAATAGACTGTAGCACCAGAAGGTGAGCTTTCTCAGGTATTATACATGGAAGAGTACAATGGCATGTGTGGCTTCTACCACCGCCAATGCACGTTTTGTAGAACAAGCTGCTTTAGTCAGCTGGTACCCACTCATACGAAGTACATTTTGGAAGACCCACTGTACCATGCAAAGTAATGAGTATGTTCCTTCGACAGCTCAAACCAATCAAATATCTTTACACCAAAAATACCGATGCTACTAGCTGCACTAATCACTGTTTTCACCAACTGTACGCTAAACTACAGAACGCCCATTTCACTTAACTTCACCGTTATGGGCTGCACTCTTTAACCCCCTACCCTCTCGCACTGCCCAGCCACAGGATCTTTAATAACTCAGCTAGTATTTTAATCATCACCTCTTCTAGAACCAGCTCTGAAGAAGAGTGTTAGACACAGAGGATACACCTGACATTAGGATACATCTGCTATGCCAACTCCTACTCTGCTACTAAGCGGGCATTTTTCTGTTTGTCACCACCACAAAGAAGGTGACTAGATTTTGTGCTCAGACTGGTACAGTCACATAGCACTTGTGTCAGGCAAACATTTAAAACATTCAAATAATTGTTTATATTAAAAAAATAATAAAGCGAGTCATCCCAACAGAGCAGGTCCCAATCTGTCCATGGAGTCAGTATTAGCAGTGACAGACAGGAAGATGAAGGTCTATTCCTCAGTCTACCCAGGACCCACAGACCCTGGGCAGATCACTTGTTCTCTGTGCGCTTTTTTCCCTTTGTCCATCTTGCCTGCTGAGGCCAATCAGGGATTCACTCTCTCTGTCCATGCAGCGTCCACCTGATCTCAGCTGCAACCTCTAGATGCTACTGCAGTACAGACAGATCAGACTAAAACTGTTTGAGGAATAACTTACTCGCTTTGAGTTTTCTGACTCCGTGAAAAATCTGTCTACACAGATTTCACAAACAAAAAAAAAAAGAGGAAAAACATCCCATTTTTACCAGCTCCAGTTAAAGTCTAGACATTCAATGATTTTTAGGAAAACAAAGCTTGCCTGTTTTTGTAACAAAAGAAAATCAAAGCAAGTCCTGTAACGTTCAGGAACAAAACTCACTTCCGTACACAACATCAATGTGATTTATAATGCTTTCACATCTCTCATATGCTAGTAAATCTATCTAAAATACCTTACTATTTTACTTTGCCTCAAAGCAAATGTGTTCTGCTCTTTGAAATCAGAGTGTAATTTCTTTTCACTTTAAAATAAATATGAGATTGATCACTGGGTATCATTATCTTTTAGCCTGCCATGAAAAGTGGGATGCATTGTGTTGGCAACCAATGTCACAGGCTGAACGAGAGCCACTCAGGAGGGGGCGGGCGGTCTCTCTCACTCTGCAGAGCAGTAGCCTGCGTCACTTTACAGCTGGCAGACACTTCTGTGTTTGTGTCATCACCCATTAATATTTGTTAGCAAGTCATCCTGGGTTCTACCAAAATTACTCAAATGTCTGAGGCAAGAATTCTTATGGGCGATATCTTTTTTTGGACTGCCTGCATGGTTGGGATAGACGGAGACAAGGTTTTGGGTATCACAGTACCCTTCGTCCCTCGAGACCTGACAGTGGGTAGTGTGATACCCGAGAGCTTGTCTCCGTCTATGCCAACCGTGCAGGTGGTCCAATAAAAGATATCACCTACGAGAACTCTTGCATCTTTCCTGGACTATCACAGCAACATCACTTCAAATGTCTGAGCGTCTCTGTGGCTGAATATCCAGTCCTAGCCCAAAGCTCGTTATGAAATAAACAAGGCTGGGATTCTGGGCACAGGATTACTGTGCTCCTGGCACAGAGCCCAACCTGCAAGATGCTGAGCACTGTGGCCCTAATCTTGCAAAGCACTCGCATGCAAGTAGTCCCTGTGAAGTCAAAAGAACCGGCCTAAGGACTCTGCTGGTCTGGGCCCAAAGTGCTCAGTGCTGCGCAGGAACAAGCCCACAAAATGGTTTTACACCTCAGCTAGGCTCCCTGATGACTGCCTCTCAGACTGGCTGTTAACTCCAGCTTGGATTGCAAATTCTCCAGTCGACTGCTTTTTATTAACGCTTTTTGCATTAGTTTAGATATGACTCTTATGAACATGCGTCGTGGTAGGCACAGCTTGTGTAACAAGACAAAAGGTGCAAACAAGCAGTGTTCACCCATGAGGTTTCTCTACAGATGTGCCAAGTGGGATGCTTTGCTTTCTAATACCAATTGGACCAAATGCCAACTAACTTTTTGTAAAAACTGGTTTAGTTCTGTACGTGCAAAAACGTGCCTCAAAAACGAAAGTTTTGTTTAACATCTGTACAACTTAAAAACAGATATTGTTTGTATTTCTGCAAAGCAGCCCTCATCTTCGCATTCC